CACGCGCCTCGCCCGCGACAGCGCCCCGACGGGCGACGGCACGGACGACGGGGACGTGTCGACACCGGTCGCCACCGCCCTCGCTTTCCTGCGAGACCAGGTGCCGCCCGACTCCCTGGCGCTGCTTTCCACGCGTGGCAACTCGCTGGACTCCCTCGGCGTGAGGGACGCGCAAGCTGTGCAACCCGTCATGCAGGCAGTGATCGACGCCCTCACCGGGGCGCGCGGTCGCGGCCTGGCCCGCCCGGAACGCTGGCTCCTGTTGCTCTCGATGCCGCGCTGGCTCCTCGCGAAGCCGCCGACAGGCGTCACCCCGGAAGCGGCACTACAAGAGCGGGCGTGCCGATTCTTCGCAGGCGAGTTCGAGTCGCTGTGGAACGCGCACAAGTGGGAGGACAAGCTGCCGACGATGGCGTCGCACGCGAAGCAGCAAGGCAAGTCGGAGAGGGAGCGGAGCGAGGAGCTGGTCGAGTTCATCCAAGACGCGGCGCGCAAGCGACGGCTCAGACAGGCCATGTCGCGGATGATGGACGTCCCGTCCGTCCCGCCCGGCGACCTGGCGTACGCCCAGCTGCGCCTGCTCCTCTGCGCCGACGTGTCGTCGGCAGAACGCGCCACGTTGCTCCGCTGGCGGGCGGAGCGCGGGATGAACCAGCCGGAGGACGCGATGCACCGCCTCGGGGAGGACCTCCGGGACGAGGCGCGAGTCAAGGAGCTCGCCGAGAAGTGGCGGCCCCGCCTCGCGGCGGCGCGCTACAAGAAGCAGCCCGCAGGCACGGGCCTACGCACCGAGCACCTCAAGCCCTTCTTTGAGGAGCTCGAGGGCGGCTTCGTCGTGCTGTTCGAGGCGATCGAGCGCTTTGCCATCCCCGACTGCATCACACGCATCGCGGCGACGGTGCTCTCGACCCAGCTGCTCAAACGCCTCGATGACGGGACGCCGTCGATGCTCGCCGGCACGCGACCCATCGGCATGGGCGAGGCCCTCTTCAAGGAGGCGTGGCGCGCGCGCGCGAGCTGGGCGGCGAAGACCATCGGCCCCGTGCTCCTCTGCTTCGGTCAGATGGCCGTCGGCCTGCCCAGCGGCGGCGAGGGCGTCGCCACGGCACTGCAGCTGTACTGCGACTCACCTGCGCTCGAAAGCCGCGCCATCATCATCGCCCTCGACTACTCCAACGCCTACTCGACGAGCCTGCTCGACTCGTCGGCGCGAGCGACCCTGAAGCTGATCGAGTGGGTCAAGCAGCTCGACGACGCGACGCGGGCGCGGCTCGCCATCAAGGACGCAGACGAGGTGGTCCGGGCGGCAGAGGCAGCGCTCGACGACCTCGCCTTCCTGCGGACCCACCACGGCGAGGTGCTGACAGTCGTCGACGGCAGCCTGGACCGCTTCGCCGTCCGCCTCGGCTTCACGCAAGGCGGCCTCTTCTCCATGCTGAGCTTCTGCATCGCCGTCTGCTTCCTCGTCCTTAAACCGCTCAAGGAGAGGTACCCGGAGGTTGTGCCGAAGTGCATCGCCGACGACGCCCACGCGCCGACCGTCGTCCGCGAGGCCGCCGACATCGAACGGGCGGCGGAGTGGTGCACCGCCTACGTCAAGCTCTCGGAGCGAGAGCTCAACCTCTCCGCGAACGCGCGCAAGTTCAAGATCCTGCAGTCGCGGAAGTGGCAGGACACGGAGCTTGACGTAGCGCGCTTCATCAAGCTCTTCCCGTCGCAGATGCACGAGGGAAAGCGCAAGTGGCCGACGGTGTTGCGCGACGCGCTCCGAGTCAACGGCGTCGGCGTGGGCTACGAAGCGGCAGCGCGCACCGGCATCGCCATGGACAAGGTGCGGGCGCACGAGATCAAGCTGAGGGTGCTCGAGAAGCTCACGCCGGCGCTCGGGCGGCAGACGGCCGAGCTCCTCGGACGCTTCACCCTCAAGGCGTCAACCGCGCTCAACCACGTCGCCCGTGGTTGCGAGCCCTCGGTCACGCGCGAGCCGCTCGAGTACGCTGGCGAGACGCAAGCGCAGCTCTTCCGCACGCTCACCGCCACCAGCCCCTCTGAGATCCGCGACGTGCAGCACGACGCCAACCCCGCCGGCCCGACGGAGCGGCGGTGCGAGGAGGCGATGCACCTCTCGCAGCGGAATGGCGGCTTCGGCTGGGCGCACCCACGACTCATCGCGCCGGCCGCTTCGACCGGGCGCGTGCTCGACGTCCTCTATCTGCTGCGGCGGCTCGAGGACGTGTCCCCATTGGTGCCGCCCCCGAACGAGTGGGCCACGTCCGGCGT